TTCTGGGTTCATGTGCAGAGAGCTTCCTGAACACACTAAGCCTGCCCCAAATCTGGAGAAGGATGTAACGGGGGATGAATCCAATGTGAACACCATATGCCTCTATCTACCTTACTCATGGAAGAAAGAAATTTTTTTTTTTTGAGAGATTTTCATTGTAGGGCGTGTGCGCTCGCCAGACAGACAGAGAGAGACATAGAGACAGAAAGCGAGAAGTCACCCCCCAGGGGGGATGGTCACGCTGCAATCCCTTCTCCTCCATTCTCCTCTCGGGATCTTGGGCACGCACGCACATGCGCCCGGCGTGAGTTTTAAGCCACTGGGTCCGGGACACAAACCACGGTCGACTATGTGGGAGTCCAGCGACATAGCCATTACGCTAACTGCTGGTTCCCAGAAAGAAATTTTTTAAAAATTGTAAAAACTGGGGGCCCGCAGGTGGTGTAGTGGTTAAGGTGCTAGACTCCCACATGACTGCAGTTCAAGTCCCAGACACAGTGGCTTCAAAATCATGTTGGCACGGAGGTTAAGGCAGCTGTGTCCCACATGGCCAACTGCTTTCCTGTTGCCGGGAGCTGAGTGGGAGGAAGAAGTTTCTGGAAAGGGTCTGGTTATAACTCCTGATAAGTTGTGATTGATGTGGCTAATGTCTTTCTGCTATTTTTTTATGGCTACCTGCTCATTTCTAGTTAACTGCCTATCAGTGTCAAAAGACAAAATTACAATAAATTTAGTTATAGAGATAATTTTTTTCAGGCCATAAGTTTATTTACAAACATATCTAGTATGCTATCAGTTTAAGAGTTTGATCCATTTTTCAGAGGTTGGGACTGAACCTCTTAAAATGTTCGTCATATCTATGAAATGGATGAATTAAAACATCCTTATTTCTTTTTAAAAATATTTATTTATTTATTTTATTCCATTTATTATTATAATAATTATTATTAATTTTGTCAGACAGAGAGATAGAGAAAAAGGGAAAGTGAGAAAATAAGTCACCAGGTCCAGGACTCCAACTGTGGTCAGCCATGTGGGAATCTAACACCTTTAACTATTATGCCACCTGCCAGCCCAAACATCCTTATTTCTTAAGCAGCTAGTGTCTTACTATAAAGAAAGTTGCAGCAAATCCAAATCCAAAGTATAAGTTATCATAACAAGTAACCACCACTTGCTTTCCACTGAAAATGGCAGATTTCTTCCCTGGACCCTCCTCACAATGTCTCCTACGGAGGTTGTGAACTTCTGGATGCTCTGTCCTAGCATGGTGCTGCTGGAAGCTCTGTGACACGCCCAGGGTCTGAAGAGGAAGAAATGGCAGAACTGCAACAACCTCTTCTTTTCTCATGACTTTATTCTCTAGCTACAAGGACCAAAAGGGAAGACCTAGAGATAATTGATTTTATTTGCAATTTCTGAGTCCGGGCAGCCTCCATTCTACAAAATAGAATGAGAACTCACATTGGGCAAGAGTAAAATGTGGGTTTTATAAGGCGGGAATAAGGAAACAGAATAGAAAAATAACTGATTGGGCCCAACTGTGGTGGTAGAGGTGGTAGGGTTCACTGGAGCCACATGGAACACCCAGGTTTGGATCCCTGGTCCATCCAAACATGCTAGATGTACATGCCTACATTTGCAATCCTGCTGTTTGAGAGGCTTGGCGGGGGGTATAAGTGGTATGGAGATGCTGTTCAGGGGCTTCTCTATCTCTCATGAACATAAATAAATAAATAAATAAAAATAAGTAAGTAAACTGAAAAACAAACAACAGAGGGGTCAGCAGATGGCATAGCAGTACATTACCGGACTTCCACAAGGCCAACCATGGTTCCAGTCCCAGACCCGGTAGCTTGAAACTCATGCTGGGTGTGTGTGCATGTGTGCCCAAGATCCTGGGAGGAGAATGGAGGAGAAGGGATTGAGAAATCACCCTCCTTCCCTGGAGGGTGATTTCTCACTTTTGCTCTCATTGTCTCTCTCTCTCTAGCAGTACATGTTCACTAGGAAAAAAAATCTCTACCAAACCAAACCAAACCAAACCAAACCAAACCAAACCAAACAAAAAAACCCCAACGACAGAGGGCTAGGCGGTGGTGCAGTGGTAATGCAATACTCTGTAATACAAGACCCACATGGGAAGGTTCTGGATGTGTATCCCAGGACTCGTTGCGCATGTTTGGTGTACAGAGTATGTGCCCTTGATCCAAACTGGCTAAAGGTGGAGGTGGGTTGTGGTGTGAAGATCCCGTTGGGACCAGGTGTGGTGGTGCTTATTTGTAGTCCCAGTTACTCATAAGGCTGAGGCAGGAGCATCAAGAGCTCGAGGTTAGCCTCAGCAATTAAACAGAAGATCTCAAAAAGAAGGCCTGGCCTGGTGACACGGTAGCAAACCAAACTGCAGTGCTGTTGACTGTGTCACTATGGGTTCAGATCCCAAAGTCGGCTTGAATACTGTCCAGAAACATGCCAGTGCTTTCAAGATTGTGAGGAGTTGGAGAGCTGCAGGAAGGAAAATGTGGTATGATGAGACTCTGTTGAGGGTGCTTGTCTGTCTCTCTAGTGCATGTGTTGTCTATCATGAATTAAAAAACAAAGCAAAACAAAACAAAAAACCCTGTTGGGGGTGATCCCTTCTCTCTCTTTGAAGGAATAAACTTAAAAAAACAAAACTGACTGGTTGTCAGTTTACTTTTTAGTAAAGGCTAAAGCAACGAGAATTTCCTTATTAAATTAACTCAAATATATGAATCTCCTATTTTCAGGAAAAAATGGTCTGTTAGGATCTGTTTTCTTCTTTAAAATTTCAGTTTGAAAATGTAGCATTTAGCACAAGTGATTCCATTTTAGTTTGGGCTGGTCTGTTGGAGCCTAGGACAGGAGCACAGTCTAAAATAATAGCCTCCTGTGATTTTTTTTTTTTGGAGAGGTTTTTGCTATAGGGTGGGAGAGCTCACCAGACAGACAGAGAGAGACAGAGAGACAGAAAGCAAGAAATCACCCCCCAGGGGGGATGACCATGCCACAATCCCTTCTCCTCCTTTCTCCTCTCGGGATCTTGGGCATGCACGCAAACGCACCCGGCTAGAGTTTAAGCCACTGGGTCCGGGACTCGAACCGCAGTTGACTACGTGGGAGTCCAGCGACATAGCCATTATGCTAACTGCTGGTCCCAGCCTCCTATGATTTTATTTTAATTTTTTGAAGAGGTTTTTGCTATCAGGTATGTACTCTCTTCAGAAAGACAGAGAGAGACAGAGAGACAGAAAGTGAGAAATAATTTTCCCAGGAGAGATGGCCATCCCACAATCCCTTCTCCTCCATTCTCCTCTTGGGATCTTGGGCACGCACGCACATCTGCCCAGCTTGAGTTTAAGCCACCGGGTCCGGGACTCGAACCATGCTTGATTACATGGGAGTCCAGCGACATAGCCATTATGCCAACTGCTGGTCCTGCCTCCTATGATTTTAATACCAGATTATACTTGTAAAACTATAGAAGCTGACACAGGGCAAACCCTCAAAAAATGTTAGGCATCTTTCCTCACCCTGAGGTAAGGAAAAAGGTAGATAAAGTGAAAGGAACGCTGGCCTCCTAGCTTAGTGGTTGAAGAAGCTGGATCCCACATGGCTGACCAACAAGTTTGACTCTTGACCTGGGAGCTTAAAAGATACTAGGCACATGTCAAATCCCAGAGGGATGGAAAAATGGAGGTGAAGAAGTTGCAGTTTAGGAACCAGCAGTTAGGGTAATGGCTATGTCACTGGACTCCCACGTAGTCGACCGTGGTTCGCATCCCGGACCCGGTGGCTTAAAACTCACACCGGGCACTTGTGCGTGTGTGCCCAAGATCCCGAGAGGAGAATGGAGGAGAAGGGATTGCGGCGTGACCATCCCCTCTGGGGGGTGATTTCTCGCTTTCTGTCTCTATGTCTCTCTCTGTCTGTCTGGCGAATGCATGCGCCCTACAGCGAAAAAAATAAAAAAAAGAAGTTGCAGCTTGACCAGTTCCCATTGAGGGGTGCTTTGACCCCCCACCCCCAGCAATTTTTTTAAAAGAGATTTTTGCTGTAAGGCACGTACACTTGCCAGAGACACCAGAAAGACAGAGAGAGATAGTAAGCAAGAAATCACCCCCTGGGGGACTGGTGATGCCACATGCCCTTCTCCTCCATTCTCCTCTCGGGACTTTGGGCATGCACATGCAAGCACCTGCTGTGAATTTGAAGCCACTGGGTCCAAGATTCGAACTGTGGTGGACTTAGTGAGAGTACAACCACGTTAGTCATTACGCCATCTGCTGGCACTTCTCCAGTAAATTTTAAGAGAGAGAGAGAGAGAGAGAGAGAGAGAGAGAGAGAGATTCTCCACAAGGGGCGTTCCTCTTTTTTTTGCTATAGGGCACGTGTGCTTGCAGGAGAGACAGAAAGACAGAAAGAGAGACCCCCCCCCCCCCCCCATGGCCATGCTGCAGTCCCTTCTCCATTCTCCTCTTAGGATTTTGGGCACGCACACACACGCAACTGGCGTGTTTTAAACCCCTGGTCTGGGACTCCAATCGAGGTCGACTATGTGAGAGTCCAGCTATGTAACCATTACACCATGTTCTTTAAGGAAAAATACAGAAGATACTATACATCCTTCCTAGACCATATGCATTCCTTTGTCATCCCTTGGCACAGAACTCTGTCCAGAAACTATACCCTATTTTTCGCCCAATCATATCACTACTAAGGTACATGGCATTCTTTCTTCATCATCCTTTCTTGCCCTTACTCCCACTTGCATCTTTCCTGTGTACCTTTCCAAGTCTTCTAACTTTCCCGCCTGAGTAGCTCTTGGCCAATCCTGTACGTAATTGTCTATTTTCCCCGCCTCTTCGTGACGTTATGGGAAAGACCGCTGATTGGTTTTTCTGGAGCAAGAACTGGCCAATGATAGGCGGACTTTTTAAATGCAGAAGGGCCGCTAGTATTATCGTCGGTGATTGGTTGGAGTGACCCGCGTCAGGAAAATGGCCACGAACACATCTGTAGTCCCGGTGGCTGTGCCAGCTACCGTGGTGCCAGTCCTGTCCACGAATGGCGATTTCTCAGATTTGCGAGAAATTAAAAAACAACTGCTGCTTATTGCGGGCCTTACTCGGGAGCGGGGCCTGTTGCACAGTAGCAAATGGTGAGATGTGCGGGTCGGAAGGGACAGGGCGTGGATCCTTGGCCTTAGGGGCTGGTGGAGCTGATCCAGTTTGTGTGGGTGTTCCAGGTCCGCGGAGTTGGCCTTTTCTCTCCCCGCGTTGCCTCTAGCGGAGCTGCAGCCGCCGCCGCCTATTACAGAGGTAAGGACCTCTTTACTGTGAGCGCTCCCCATAGACGGAGGGGTGTGTCTGAAGAGCAACCGAGTGCCCTGTCACTGGAGGGGGCAAACTGCTTATCGGGGAATGTTTGTAGGGAATTCGAGCATTTAAAGAGCGGGGTGTTACAAGTTCTTTTACCCATGTTGTTTTGTTGATCTGTGAAAGATTTGGTCATCTTCTTATTTAAACTAGAGAGAGTTAGTAAACAATTATTGTTTAAGATTTCAGCCTCTAAGGTTTCGGCAATACTCGGAAAGGCGGGAAGAAGCGACTTTTTTATAACAGCATAAAACCTTTTCTGCACTTGTCTGATTGTCATAGTGAAATGGTTAAAAAGTGTGGGCTATGGATTGAGACAGCTCTGGGTTCAAATCTCAATTAAACTAGTGACTTTTGGCAATTTACTTAACCTACTGAGCCAATTTTCTCGTTTGTGTAATAAGGATAATATTACCTATTTAGGATGTTGAGAGGATTAAATGAAATAATAGATGTAGACTGCTTAGAAGTGTACCTAGCACATAGGACTCAGTAAAATAGCTATTCTCATTATTTTGAGTCTCCTTTTTTAATTTTTTTTTTTTATTTTTTGAGAGATTTTTGCTGTAAGGTGAATATATTGTCAGCCAGACAGAGAGAGATGGAGAGAGTGAAAGTGAGATATCACCTCCCTGGGGGATGGCCATACTGCAGTCCCTTCTCTATTGGGACTTTGGGCACACACCAGATCTGGGATTCGAACTGTAGTTGGCTCTCCTTTGGAGAGTGGTCACACTGAAAGTCCTTCTCCATTTCTCCTTCCTTTTGGGACTACAAAAACATTTATTTTCAAATGTAGCACTCCCTAATGGTGCCCGGTCATGCTGCGATTATTTTTCAAGCCACCGGGTCTGGGATTCAAACTACATGGTTGTCCATGTGGGATCTAGCAATTTAACCACCATGCCACTTGCTGGCCCTCCTTTCAGGATTTTGGGGATGCATGCACAAGTGCCTGACATGGTTTTGAGACTAACATGTTTTCAACCCACTGTTTTCCAGGTTGCCAGGTATGAGACTAGAGATTTTAAAAGTCAGTAGATGTATAGAAGTGTTGGGTTGTCGGAAAAGTCATGACACATTTTTGCACGGAAAAAAATACATTATGACTTTTCCGACAACCCAATAGTATATATATATATATATACACACACACACATGAGAGAGTCTTCAAAAAGTTCATGGAAAATATATTTTACCCAAAAACTATGCAAACTATGCATGAATTTCAAGATGTAAGTTTATTTTACAATAGAGAGCAAGTGCTGGTCGCATGTGACAGAGAAAAAGAGAGAACTCTCGACAGAGTTTCATCATGCTACAGATTTCTTCCATCAGCCCTCTTGCTTGTCAGAATCTTGTTCATATGCACCCAGTGTATTTCAGGACAACCAGGATGGAGATTAGCACCCATGTGGCTTCCAGAACTACAGCTCACTATGCTACCTACCATACCCCTGAGGCTGAGATGGCTTTCAAACTTTTTTTGTACCCAAATCCATTTTTCTATGAACTTTTTGAGGTACCCTCAGTTTTTTGGGAGGAGGAAAATAACCATTATTTTCCTTACATCTTGAAGTTAGTGCATATATATCTTACATTTGACCTTTTGTTGTCCTCTTCCTAACTACTTACACAGACTTGTCTCTTTTCTAGGAGGATGCCCAGGATATGGATGCTTACACGCTGGCCAAGGCCTACTTTGATGTTAAAGAATATGATCGGGCAGCTCATTTCCTGCACGGCTGCAAAAGCAAGAAGGCCTATTTCCTGTACATGTATTCCAGATATCTGGTGAGGGTCATTTTTAGGTATTCTTCCTTCAGTGAAGCATCCATATTTACAACCAAGTGGCAAAAGTTTAATCTTTTAGATAGGCTAGTGATGGACTACTAAGTGAATGTGCTTTATATACTTAACAAGAATTAAAAAGAGATATAAGTAGAAGTTTTAAGTAATGATAATATAGAAGAAAATGTTCTTAGTAATGACTAATGCACTGATTAGTTACAACCTGATCTTTTACTTTAGGTCATACACGGTTTTTTATGCCTGTGGATTGACACTACTGTTTTTTGTTCTTTTTAAGTTGCTAGATGGTGTAGGTGTTTGCCAAAGAGAGATGGAGAGACAGAGAGAGAGGAAAAAGGCACTCCCTAATGGGGCATGGTAATGCTGCGATCCCTTCTCCTTCATTTCTCCTTCCCATCAAGATTTTGGGCTCACACTACCTGGCATGTTTTTCACACTACTAGGGCCAGGATTTCAATCAGAGTCGGCCATGTATAATTCAGTTCTCTTAACTCTTAGATTATGACGATTACCCAGATGTTGTTTAAAAGTAGAGTTTAAAAACTTGGGTGGGGTCCAGCAGGTCATATGGTGGTTAAAGCTAGACTCTCACATGGTTGACCATGGTTCAAGCCCTGGACCCAGCAGTTTGAAAACCATGCAGAGTGCATATGCCTATGTGCCCAAAATCCTGAATAGAGACAGGATTACAGTGTAGCCATCCCTCCAGGAGGTGATTTCTCACTTTCCCTCTCTCTGTCTCTCTTTGGTGAGTGCTTGCACTCTATGGCAAAAACCTTTAAAATAAATAAATAAATAAATAAATAAAACTTAGGTTGGGCCACCCTTGTGACCTAGGGGTTAAAGAAGCTGGATCCCACATGGCTGACTGCTTGTTTCAAATCCTGCCACAGCAGCTTGGAAAATAGCAGGTACAAATATGTGCATGCCCTAAGCCCTGACAGGAGAGACAAATGGAGAAGAGATTGCAGTGTGATCACGCCCATTGGATAGGTGTTTTCTCTCTTTCCTTCTGTCTCTGGTGATTGCATGTACCTTATGGCAATTTAAAAAAATAGTAAGATAGGGCTAGCCAGTGGCATGGTGGTTGGGATAGCTGGATCCCACATGGTCGACTACGTGGTTTGAGTCCTAGACTGGCAGCTTGAAAAACACTCCAGGCATGTATGTGTGCATGCTCAAAATCCCAAAAGGAATGATGTAGGAGAAGGGCATGTGGCATGACAGTCCTCCATCAGGGATGTTTTCTCATTTGCCTTTTCTCTGTCTCTGGTGAGTGTACATGCCCTGTAGTAAAAATAAAAATAAAATAAAAGCTTAGGTATTCAATTGATTTCCAAATTTAAAAAAAAGTTATTTATTTATTTAAATTTGACCAGAGAGGGACAGAGTAAGAGAGAGCAAGAGAGACAGAAAGTGAGAAAGCAAGCCACCAGGCCCAGGACTTGAACCGTGGTTGGCTCTTAACCACCATGCTACCTGCAGGCACCATGATTTCTAAATTTTTGAAGTCAATTATCTTTTTTTCTTTTCTCTCTCTTTTATGTTTTAGTTTTTTACTATAGGGCATGTGTGCTCTCTGGAAAGAGACAGAGATGGGGAGAGAGAGAAATTGGCTTCCCCAGGGGATTGACCACACTGCAGTCTCTTCTCTTCCATTATCACCTTGGAATTTTTAGCATGCATACACACATGCCCAAAGTGATTTTCAAGTCACTGGGTCCAGGACTCAAACCATGGAGTAGACTATGTTTCAGCTGCCTTAACCACCATGCCATCTGATGGCCCAAGTCATGATGATTTTTTTTTGTTTTTTTGTTTTTTTGAGAGATTTTTACTTATAGGGTGCACGTATTGGTCAGAAAGACAAAGAAACAGTGAGAGAGAGAGAGAAAGTGAAAAATCACTCTCCAGGGGGGATGATGAGCACATTGTAATTCCTTCTCCTCCATTCTCCTCTTGGGATTTTAGGCGCGCACACACACACACACACACACACAGTATGAGTTTCAAGCCAGTGGGTCCGGGACCCAGACTGTGGTTGGTCATGTGGGAGTCCAGTGCTTTTACTATTACATCATCTGAAGGCTCCAATTATCATCTTTTTTTTTTTTTTAATAAGTTATACTTTTATTTTCCAGAAACAAAAAAAAACAAGTGGCAATTTGCCTTTGTAAAAGCCATGAAAGAATATCAGAATAATAAGTAAGCTATCTATCTCAGGGAGACAGTAGCCTCAGAAAGCATATAGGGTTTTCAAAGAAAGTCCTATTAAATAAATTTCAGAAAAACATACTTTTAACTGAATCAACAAAACAATATCAAAAAATTATATAGAACTCGTAAAATGGTATGTGAAGAAGAAAAAGGAAAATTCTGGAAATCCACATACTGAGATTTCTCTGTGACAATCATGGGGCTCAAATCTGTTTCTTTTTAAAAATATTTATGGATATAACTGTGTTTTTCTAAATGTTTCATTAGTAAGACCCAGTCTTGGAAGTGTGGTTCTATAATAATCTATAATGTAACTACTTCCATCTGAAGGTCTAACAATCTGTATTGAAATAAGAAAGAAATCAGGAACCAGCAGGTTAGGTATGGTGGTTAAGGCGCTGGACACTTGCACGTGGCCGACCATGGTTGGAGTCCTGGACCTAATAGCTTGCTTTCTCACCTTCCATCCCTCTCCCTCTGTCTCTCTCTAATCAATTAAAAAAAAAAAAAAAAAAGAAGAAGAAGAAATAAATACAATTAAATAAGTAATTCTTTTCTTTTTTTATTTTTGGAGTTTGTTTTTTTTTTTTTTTTTCTTTTTTTTTTTTTTGCTATAGGGAGTGTGTGCTCGCCAGAAAGAGAGACAGAAAGCAAGAAATCACCCCTCAGGGGGGATGGCCATGCCACAATCCCTTCTCCTCTATTCTCCTCCCAGGATCTTGGGCATGCATGCACACGCGCCCGGTGTGACTTTAAGCCACTGGGTTGGGGACTTGAACTGTGGTCGACCACATGGGAGTCCAGAGACATAGCCATTATGTCAACTGCTTGTCCCTAAATAAGTAATTATTAAAAAAAAATAAGAATGAAATCAATTAGGCTCCCAATTCCACAAAACCCGACTGTACAAAACTTTAACAAACCAAAGGCAGGGTATCTGAGGTAAAATCGACCTGCTCGCAGCCATCCAAGAAAAAGAGATAGTGCAAATGGCACTTTGTCTAAATAGCCATTTATATTTTGGCAAGCTGGGTTTGAGAAAGCCAGCTTCATTTCCAGTAAAGTGTGTTTCATGCCACTAAAGTCCTTCCAAGTTATGTTGGGTGCTGGTAAACATGGAACATGAGTTGTGTGGTTTATATGATTAACTGGTACCTGCATAGCATAATTTTTTCTTTTGGCTCTTTATAAATATATTGTCCCCTTTGTGGTCCTTGCACTTAAGTGTCTCCTTGCCTCTGTTGGTGGCAGTGGGACCAGCCTCCAAAGTCCCACGGTGACTGACATAAACCACAGGACACCAAGAAGGCAGGCAGCCATGGCCTCTGGAGAAGCCAGCCTGGAGGGCCAGGTGGCTGCCATGTTGTTTACTGGCACATTCCCAACAGTTTCCAGTTCCTCAATTATCTTATTTACAATATATTTGTTGTTTAAGTTTCATGGCTACTTAAAATTATAAAGGACATACAAATAAAATAATTTACTATTAACTATAATTTTGTATAATTTATTATTTCATTTTAGAACATTATGAATGTACTTTTCTACTTCTTTTTAGTTGTTTTTTCTTCTCCTTTCAAGAAGGATTTTTGCTATAGGGAGCATACACTTGCTGGAAAGACAGAGAGAAACAGACAGAATGCGAGAAATCACCCCCCTAGGGGATTGATCACACCACAGTCCCTTCTCCATTCTCCTCTCGGGATTTTGGGCACACACATGCACCTGGCATGAGTTTTAAGTTGCCAGATCCAGGACTCAAATTGTGCTTGGCTACATTGGAGTTCAGTGACATAACCATTACACTATCTGCTGGTTCCAATGGTTCTTTCTTTCTAAGGAGACAGATTTTCACTGTGGTGCCCTGGCTGGCCTCAAACTTGTGATCCTCCTGTCTCAACTTCCTAAGTAGCCAGGATCAGATTATAGGCATGCACCACTTTGCCTGGCTTACTTTTCTTAGCTGTTATCTTCTATATAAATGGATTTTTTTCTTTTGGAGAGGATTTTGCTGTAAGGCACGTGTGCTTGCCAGAAAGACAGAGAGACAGAGAGACAGAAAGCAAGAAATCACCCCCCCCCAGGAAGGATGGCCACACTGCAATCCCTTCTCCATTCTCCTCTCTGGATTTTGGACACGCACACACACGCACCCAGTATGAGTTTAAACCACCAGGTCCAGGACTCGAACCATGGTCAACTACATGGGAGTCCAGTGATGTAGCCATTGTGCCATTTGCTGGTCCCTATAAATGGATTTTTAAAAGACATTTTATATATATCTCATTTCTGGGTACATGTTGAGCATCCCTAATACAAAAATTTGAAATCTGAAATGCTAGAAATGTGAAACTTTTTTTTTTTTTTTGAGAGATTTTCGCTATAGGGCACGTGTGCTCACCAGACAGACAGAGAGAGACAGACAGAAAGCAAGAAATCACCCCCAGGGGGGATGGTCATGCCGCAATCCCTTCTCCTCCATTCTCCTCTTGGGATCTTGGGCACGCACACACATGTGCCCGGCGTGAGGTTTAAGCCACCGGGTCCGGGACGCGAACCGCGGTTGACGACGTGGGAGTCTAGCGACATAGCCATTACGTTAACTGCTGGTTATCAGAAATGTGAAACTTTTTGAGCATTAACATGAGGTCACAGGTGAATCTAAGGTGTAGTCAAAACATTACAATACAAAAATATTGTGTAAAATTGCCTTTGGGCTGTGTGCATAATGCATATATGAAACATAAGTGAATTTCGTGTTTAGATTTGGGTCATATACTTCATTATGTATATACAGATATTCCAGAATCAGAAAAAACTTGAGCTATGAAATACTTCTGGTCCCAAGCATTTCAGATAAGGGTTACTCAGCCTGTATAAGCATAATCTATGTTTGTCAAGTAAGTAGCTTTTTATGGTTATAGAGTCATTTAATATTTACAGTTTTTTAATTGGGTAAAATAAAATCTTAACTATTAAATTTTTTTTTAATTGCTGGAGGGCATATGTGCTTACAAGTTCGAGACAGAGAAAGAGTGAGGGAGAAAGCATCCCCCAACAGGACATGATCGTGTCACAGTCCCCTGTCCTCCATTTCTCCCTCTTGTCAAGATTTTGGGCACATAAGCCTTGCTTATTTTTCAAGGGACTCTAACTGTTGTTAGCCATGTGGGATCTAACTCCCTCAATGACTAGGCCCTGGGACCAGCCTTAAAATAATTTTTTATTGAGTCCAGCAGGTGGCATAGTGGTTAAGGTGCTGGACTCCCACATGGCCAGCTGCAATTTAAATCTCCAGCCTGGAGGCTTGCTTTCTTACTTTCGCTCTTTCTCTCTCTCTTTGTCTTTCCCTGGTGAGCACATGTGCCCTATAGCAAATGAAAAATAACAGTAATAATAATAAATAAATAAATATTTTTAAAATTATTTTTTATCGATGCATTAATAATCATACATACAGTGTGCTTTCTCAGTATATGAATACAATGTGAAATGATCAAATCAGGGTAATTAGCATATTCATCTAAAACATTTATCTTTATTTTTGTTGGACACACAAAATCTTTTTTTTTTTTAGGAATTATTTATTTAATTTTATTTGTTTTTATTATTATTTTTTAATTTGACCAGAGAGAGAAAAAGGAAAAGTGAGAAAGCAAGCCACCAGGTCCAAGATGGTCAGCCATGTGGGAGTCCAAAGCCTTAATCACCATGCAACCTGGTGGCCCCAAAATCGTTTTTTAACTATTTTGAAATATACAGAAGTTATCCTTTATTGTAGTTCTCCCTCTCTGTTATGGATACTAGAACTTCTCTTGTATAACTAATTTTTGTATTTGTCAACCAACATCTCCCTAACTCCCTCTCTATTCCACTTCCCAGGCTCTGATAACCATTGTTCTACTCTTACATTTGTGAGGTCAGCCTTTTTAGTTTCCATGTATATGTAAGAACATACAAATTATTTTAAACATTTTATTTATTCATTTTATTTTAATTTGACCAGAGAGAGAGAGACAGAGAAAGAGGAAAGTGAGAGGGCAAGCCACCAGGTAGGTCCAGGACTTGAACCATGGTCAGCCATGTGGGAGTGTCCAGCACCTTAACCACCATGCCACCTGCTGGTCCCAAGAACATAAAATTTTTCTTTTTCTTTTTCTTTTTTTTTTTGGAGAGGTTTTTGCTATAGGGCGTACGCGTTTGCCAGAAAGACAGAGAGACAGAGAGACAGAAAGACATCCCCTAAGGGGGATGGCTATGCTGCAATCCCTTCTTCTTCATTCTCCTCTCAGGATCTTGGGCACGCACACATGCGCCCGGCGTGAGTTTAAGCCACCGGGTCTGGGACTTGAACCACGGTCGGCTACATGGGAGTTCAGTGACATAGCCATTATGCTAACTACTGGTCCTACAATTTTTCTTTTTCTATGCCTAGTGTGTTTAGTTTGTGCTGTCTGAGATGCTAAGATTTCATTCTTTTCTTTTTAAGGTCTTTTTTAAAATAACAATTTTATTTATTATAATTATTTTAAAGTTTGCTATAGGGCATGCATGCTTACCAGAAAAGAAAGTGAGAAAACAAGCCCCCAAGTCCGGGCCTTGAACTGTGGTCAGCCATGTGAGAGAGTCCAGTGCCTCAACCACCATGCTACCTGCTGGCCCCAAGATTTCATTTCTTTTAATGACTTCTCCCTCTCCTTCTCTGTTTCTCTCTGGCAAGCGCACCACCTATGTGTCTGGCAACAACAACAAAAAGATGTCCATTTTCTCCACTGTGTAGGTAGTATTATTTCTCTTGCAGTTACCTTCAATCTGTGCGGCTATACTTAAGGCCACACAAATATCCTATTCAGCATAGAAATTTCTCTGAATTTAATGTCCATTGTTAATTCTTGCCTGAAGTGCACTTTACAATGGTGTTAATCTGATGATTTTTCTGCTCACTCTCTCTACATTTACTACTCAACACTTGGCATTCTACTCTTTTTTTTAGAGGCTTTTGCTATAGGATGCGTGCGCTCACCAGAAAGACAGAGAGAGACACACAGAAAGCAAGAAATCACCCCCCCGGGGGATGGCCATGCTGCAATCCCTTCTCCTCCATTCTCCTCTTGGGATCTTGGGCACTCACGCATATGCACCTGGCATGAGTTTAAGCCACCGGGTCCGGGCGTGTGTACCTGTGCCTGGCATGTTTTGAGGCTGACAATGGCATCTGAGCCCACAGTCGGACATGTGGCTCCCAGCACTGCAGTTTAGTTTGCTGTCATCTGCCCCACGGGCTGGACCACCTTTGTTGTTCATAGTTTATAGTTCATTACTTAATCATTTTGATACTCAGATTTTGTTGCTCAGATTAACCCAGAGTTTGTTAATGGTAGCCCCTGAGTAGCTGTTTAAAATTGGTGACAAAAAGTAAATGCCATTTTGCTTAGGCTTGGTCCTTGAGGTAGAGTCAGGATGCTAATTTTAAAATGTGTATTGGAATATTTGTTGATTTTCTTTTACAGTCTGGAGAAAAAAAGAAGGATGATGAAACAGTTGATAGCCTAGGTATGACTTTCTTTCTCTTACCTCTTGGTGTAAAAAACAGGGTTGCAATCTTAATGCCTATGGGAACCAGGCAAGTATAGAAATGAATTGAGGAGAGAGCAGGACAATGACAAAAGTTCTATTGAGAAAGAAAAAGAAAAAAAGCGAAAAATAAAGAAATGAGCCGAGGAGGACTGCTGTGAATTAGAGAGCACATGGCTTATCTCAGCCATTGATTGCCACCTGGTTTAGGCTGAGGTTTGCCTTGTGGTAGTCTGGACCTGGTGCTTGGCCCTTTCCTATTCCCTGCAACCTGAAGTTGTAAATTTATTTTATTTTAGTATTTTTTTGCATTTTTTTTTCTTTTTTACTAATTTTTGACGTGGGGCATGTGCATTCACCAGAGACAGACAGAGTTAGAGAGAGAGAAGGAAAGTGAGAGAGCACCTCCACAGGGGCGATGGCTATACCACAGTCCTTGTGCGCCTGGCTTATTTTTCAAGGCACTGGGTTTAGGACTCAAACCTTGCAGTCGACCATGTAGGATCCAGCTTTCTTAACCCCCATGCCATGTGCTGGCCCATATTTAAAAAGTATTTTTAAAAATTCATTATAAAGAGGCTGGCAGGTGGTATGTTAATTAAGGGTACTGGACTCCCACATGACTGACCACTGTTCAAGTCCCAGACCTGGAGACTTGCTTTCTCACTTTCCCTTTCTCTCTGTCTCTCTCACTCTATTCCTCTCTGGTCAAATTAAAATAAAACTATTAAGTTAAAAATTAATTATAGATAATGCGTGTGTACTTGAAAGAGAGAGAGAGACCCTTGACAGGGTGTCCCATGTTGCAGGCCCCCTTCCCCAGCCTTCCAGTTCCTCAAGATCCTAGGTGTCCATGTGTGCACATACCTGGCATGTTTTCAGGCAACTTGGATATTCAGACCTACAGCGATCCACATGGCTTCCAGGCTTGCTGGGCTCTTGTGTACCACAGCAGCTGGACCTCATTCAGTTTTTTTTTTTTTTTTTCCTTTTCCTTCCTTAGTCTTTTATTTGTAAAACGTTGATATTTAACAATAAATACAGAAGAAAAGCAACAAACAAGTAGTTGACTTGCACTGTGGATGAGAAACTCAAGCCAGGGCAGAGCAGAAGTCCCTGGTACTCCGGAGGATGTGCTGTGGGGCCACCAAGCGTCTGCAGTGTGAAAGGCACCTCTTTCTCCTCCCACAGGTCTCAAACAGCTTAGATGGGAGGCCGAGCGTGATGACTGGTCCTAATTTTTGCTATTCAGCCATTTTTCTTGATCTTGTTCTCTGATCCCAGTACATTCCAGATTGTTCGATGGATTTGTAATAAACTTCTAAGATGAAAGGGAATTTCTTGTTCATTGTATGCCTGAACTCTTGGCTTGTGTTCATCTTAGTAAACAAAAAATATGCTCTGAAAACGCCCATAAGTTCAGCTACTAAAACTCCTTTAAAGATCTTCTTTGCCAGTGGTTCCATAGTGTGGGCCATCCCGGGAAACCGAAAGTGAGTTCGGCAAGCGGAAGCCGAGTGCTCCCCACCCGAGCCCCGAGCTCTCCAGACTCCTCATTCAGGTTTTTAAAAAACTGTATGTTCCGAACAAAATATGACCGCAGACTCCATTATCAGTTGCAGTTTCTGGAATAAAGTAAATGGATTGTGTAATATATTATTAGCCACTTGTGAATGTTTCCTGGAGGATTCAAGTGTAACTTTGGATGATTCTGAAGGCAATTATCTATGTAAAATGAAAACCATTATCTTTCCCTTTGATCAGAGACATTGTTTCTTTTGTAGGCCCCTTGGAGAAGGGACAGGTAAAAAATGAGGCGCTTAGAGAATTGAGAGTAGAGCTCAGCAAAAAACACCAAGCTCGGGAACTTGATGGATTTGGCCTTTATCTGTAAGTGTTAAAGTAATTTGAAACCTCCTGTAACATATTCTCCTGAGTAGAGGGAGACATCATAAAGTACTCATTTCTCCTCATTTCTCCTATGATCATTTCCTTGTTTCCTAGGTATGGTGTGGTGCTTCGAAAACTCGATTTGGTGAAAGAGGCCATTGATGTGTTTGTGGAGGCTACTCATGTTTTGCCTTTGCATTGGGGAGCCTGGTTAGAACTCTGTAACCTGATCACAGACAAAGAGATGGTAAATGGAGATGAGCTATGCGAAAACTCTCTGCTCCAAGTCTTACATGATTCTATAATAAGTAGGGGTGGGGGAAGAGTTTTGTCAAACTTTAGGTTATAGCTAGCTCATTTACTGCATCTTCAATTGCTCTCATTGTTTTCTAACTTAGTTCTTCATTTGAAAGATTAATGACTAACTCTTGATTAGTAGTTGCTATTGTATTTGCATACAGTTTTATTAGAGTTTTTTGGTATTTATATTTTTACATTAAAGTTTTACTGTAACTTGTTTAATCAACTAAATGTTATAGTTTTTTTCTCTAATTCCACATATTCTATAGGAACAGTTTCTCTGATGTCTAGGATTGTATTAAAATATTTTAAATGTTTTAAATATTACAAGCTGTCATTGATTTCGTAAAGATTTAGAGATTGTTTATTAGTGTAATAATGTATATAAAACTGCTTTATAAACTGCAGTCATTTTATTAGTCATTATTAGAGGACATTGTCTTTTTTTTTAGAGAGATTTTTGCTATAGGTTGTGTGGCTCACTGGAGACAGAGACAGAAAGAGAGAGATTGCCCCCAATGGGAGATGGCCACTCTATAGTCCCTCCTCCTCCATTCTCTTGGGATTTGGGGCATGCACGCACAGGTGCCCAGCATGAGTATCAAGGTACCGGGTCCAGAACTTGAACCACAGTCAGCCGTATGGGAATCCAGTGACATAACCATTACGCCATCTGCTGGTCCCAGAGGCTTTGTCTTTTTATTTTTTTTAAGAATTATTTTTTTAACTTTATTAATTTAATTTGACCAGAAAGGGACAGAGTGAGAGGGAGAGAGACAGACAGACAGACAGTGAGAAAGCAAGTCACCAGGTCCGGGACTTGAACTGGAGTTGGCCATGTGGGAGTCCAGCATCCTCAACCACCAGGCCTGCTGGCCCCAAGGGCATTGTCTTTTAGTGTTTATTTTGCTGTTTTTAGTAGGTAAAAGAAGCAATAATACACCTCCTTTTGTTGGATCTGAGAAGTCAGAGACTGGTTGATTTTTCCCAATAGTAATGTATGCTACTAAATCTGTGTTTGAAATCTTACATTGGGGGATCAGGAGGTGGCATGATGGTTAAGGGTGCTGGACTCCCACATGGCTTACTGCTGTTCAAGTCCTGCATCTGGCAGCTTGTTTTCTCACTTTCTCTCTCTCTTTCTCTCTGTCCCTCTCTGATCAAATTAAAATAAATAATACATAAACAAACAAAGTAAATAAATAATTCTTTAGGAAATAAAAGAAATCTTACCTTGGTTTACTTGTATTTACCTAGTTCAAACTGCCTGCTAGACTTCAATTGAAATTTTGTTTTCTCTCTGAATTCAAGATACATAAAACCAAATTTCTCATCTTGCCTATCAAATTCTTTTTTTTTTGGAGAGATTTTTTGCTATAGGGCGCATGTGCTCGCCAGACAGACAGAGAGAGAAAGAGAGACAGAAAGCGAGAAATAACCTCCCAGGGGGAATGACCACGCCGCAATCCCTTCTCCTCCTTTCTCCTCTCGGGATCTTGGGCACACATGCACATGCGCCCGGCGTGAGTTTTAAACCACCAGGTTCGGGGCGCGAACCACGGTCGACTACATGGGAGTCCAGCGGCATAGCCATTATGCTAATTGCTGGTCCCATCTATCAAATTCTTTTTATTCTTCCCTACCTCATAAACTCTCACTAGCATCAGTTTCTCGACATTTGGTCTTGACACTCTGAGTCATATTGTCTCTTCCTTGTCTCATATTTCCCTTTATCTATTTAGTCAAAAGATGTTGCCATGGTTACCTTCTAGTGTACATCTCTTTCTCTTGGTTTCCTTTGCTATCTCAGTTATTGTATCAAATTTGGATTACTTTAAAGTAATAGATACTTTCTGTCTAGCTTTCCCATTTTTATATATCCTTGTGTAAGCCACCCTGCATACTGTTTCCAGACTTCTTTTTCTTTTGAAGATTTGTTCCTTAGGACACATTTGCTTACTGGAGAGAGAAAGACAGACAGACACAGTGAAAGGGAAAGTGAGAAATCACCCACCAGGGTGGATAGCCACACAGCAATCCCTTCTCCTCCATTCTCTTCCTGGGATCTTGAACATGCACACACACACCACCTGGCATTTTCAAGCCACCAGGTCCGGACTCGAACCACAGTTGGCCTTGCAACGTAACCACAATGCCATCTGCTGGTCCCTCAAACTTATTCTTAAAATATCCATGCCAAGACCAGCATATGGCATAATGGTTATGTCGCTGGACTCCCACGTCGTCGGCCGTGATTTGAGTCTCAGATCCACTTGCTTAAACTTCACACTACGTGCTTTTGCATGCTTGCCCAAGATTCCAAGAGTAGAATGGAAGAGAAGGGGTTATGGTGTGGCCATCCCCCCTGTGGGGGATGTGATTTCTCACTTTCTGTCTCTCTGTCTCTCTGGTGAGTGACGTGTCCTATAACAAAAATCTCCTTAAAAATAAAAAATCCATGTTATTATGCCATTCTCTTACCAGAACTTCACATTGTTTACCTATTGCATCCTCTTTTCTGTTGTACCATAGACCTACCTTACCAGTTCAGTCGTATTTTTCCACTACTTCCCAGTGCATAACCTCCCCTCAAGCCAAGGTGTTTTTCTCATCTTACTTACCCACACTCATCATGCCTGTTTGCCTCTACTTATATTGTTGCCCTTGCCTAGAAAGCTTTCTTCTTTTCCTTTTTTAATTAAAATTCTACCCATCCTCTAAGATTCATTTCAAATCATACTTTTTCATTGAAGTTATTCCAAAGTAGGCCATTTCTCCCTATTGTGTTTATATGTCATCTTCACTTAAATTGGACTACCCAGTGTTCATTGTTGTTAGCTACTCTAATAGATATTTAGTGGCAAATTACTTAGGTAATGAAGGTAGTTCATTGGTGTTCATTTTGGAGAGAGGTCAAATTATATTAAGTATGTTCCTTTCTCTCCTGCTGCCAGCTGAAGTTCCTGTCTTTGCCAGACTCCTGGATGAAAGAGTTTTTCCTGGCTCATATATACACAGAGTTGCAGTTGATAGAGGAGGCCCTGCAAAAGTATCAGAATCTCATTGATGTGGGCTTCTCTAAGAGCTCATACATTGTTTCTCAAATTGCAGTTGCCTATCACAATATCAGAGGTGAGTGAAGAGGACAATGAAACACCAACAGATCCTGAGAGGTGCACCTGCTGTTTTCTGAAGGTTCTGTCTTCTTTCTGCAGATATCGACAAAGCTCTCTCTATTTTTAATGAGCTAAGGAAACAAGACCCTTACAGGATTGAAAATATGGACACCTTCTCCAACCTTCTTTATGTCAGGGTGAGCTGCTTCCCTTGCTTGATTAAGCTTTTTAGTGCTTTATACCACCTAGGTAGGATTGTTACTAAGTTATGTTAGCTACAAAACAATTTAGGGAGTTTCTGTTTCAATTAGCAATAATCGCGCCTCGGATAAACCTCATTGGCTACGATACTGCCACTGCGCAAAGCTAGGGAGTTTCTGTTTCATACTTAGATCATTGTTCTCTTTTCTTCCAGAGCATGAAATCTGAGTTGAGCTATCTGGCTCATAATCTTTGTGAGATTGATAAATATCGTGTAGAAACATGCTGTGTAATTGGTAAGAGTTAAAAACACTTTTTTCTTTTAAGATTTACCTTCATATTAAGTAACACAGATATAAAGATAACAATATTAAAGTATTATAGGTAACAGAATTTTTTTTCAAATTTGTTATAAGGTACGTGCACTTGCCAGAGAGAGACAGAGGGAGAAAGGGATAGTGAGAAATCACCCTTCAGGGGGGATTACCATGCTGTAATTCCCTCTTCTTCACTCCTCTTGAGATTTTGGGCACATATACATACCCTCCTGGAGGTTTTTTTCAAGCCATTGTGAAGTTGGCCATGTGGGATACAGGTGTCCCAACCACCACACTACCTGGCTGGCCCAGAATTATATTTTTAATTGCTGGCAGGTATGTGTGCTCACTAGGGAGAGACAGGAGACATAGAGGGAAAGGGAGGAAGCATCCCCAAAGGTGCTTTTTTCCATTTCTCCATTCTGTTGGGATTTGGGACATGCATACGTATGTACCCAGAATATTTCTTTTCTTTTTAAAAAAAAATTATTTATTTAATTTCATTTGTTATTATTATTATTGTTGTTGTTGTTTAATTTGACCAGAGAGAGTTAGAAAGAGAGAGAGAGAGAGAGAGAAAGTGAGAGGAAAGCAAGCCTCCAGGTTCAGGACTCAAACTGCTGTCAGCCATGTGGGAATCCAGCGCCTTTAACCACTGTGCTACCTGCTAGGCCCTCCCAGAATGTTTCTTAAGCTTCTGGGGCCAGGATTCAAACTGGAATTTTTTTACTCCCTAGCCACTAGGCCACAGGACCAGCCCAGTAACGGAAGAATATACTGTAGGATGTGAAAGCTCACTGTAATTCTACCCGTAAGATTGTTTGGTGAACATTATTCCCAGATAGTTTTCTGTGCAAATACTAAAATTATGTGTGTGTGTGTGTGTGTGTGTGTGTGTGTGTGTGTAATTTGCTCGCAAAAAACTGGATAGTTATAAATACTGCTTTGTCACTTTTTTTAACCTGATGGTACATTTGTTGCCGTCTTTCCATGTTAGTACATTTTGTTTTTCTATTGCTTTTTATGGCTATTTAGCATTTTATTAAATAGATGTTCCATCATTTTTATTTAATAAAAAAGTTGAGGGACAGCTGGTAGCATGGCGAGTAAGGTAGCTGGATGCTCCATGGCTGGTAGCACAGTTTGAATTCTGGGCCAGGTGGCTTGAAAAACATGCTGGGCACATGTGTATGTGTTTGTACACATTCAAAATTTCAAAAGGAGGGAGAAATAGAGGAGAGGGAATTGAGGGTGACCATCTACCATGAGGGGTGCTTTCTCACCTCCCTCCCTGTCTCTCTTCAGCAAGTGCTCATATTCTCTAGCAAAAACAAAAAACAACTTCTCAGAAAACATCTTCATACATGACCGTATATATTTGCATACTGATACAGCTATTCTTATATGATAAGTTCCTAGCAATGAAAGACTAGATCAGGGCCAGCCAGTGGCCTGGTCATTAAGTTGACTGGATCCCACATGACTGTCTGCACGGTTCAAGTCTCAGACCCAGCAACTTTAAAAACATGCTTAGGTGTGTGTACTTAGGTGTGTGTGCATACCTAAAATCCTAAGAGGAGAATGGAAGAGAGTGGATTACAGTGTAGCCGTCCCCCTGGGAATTGCTTTCTTTTTCTTTTTTTTTTTTTTTTTTAAGAGGTTTTTGCTATAGGGCGCGTGAGCTTGCCAAACAGACAGACAGAAAGCGAGAAATCACCCCCCAGGGGGGATGGCCATGCCGCAGTCCCTTCTCCATTCTCCTCTCGGGATCTTGGGCACGCATGCACATGTGCTCGGCGTGAGTTTTAAGCCACCGGGTCTGGGACGCGAACCACGGTTGACTACGTTGGAGCCCAGCGACATAGCCACTACACTAACTACTAGTCCCAGGAATTGCTTTCTTACTTTTTCTTTTTCTCTGTCTCTCCCTTGCAAGCACATGCACCCTATAGCAAATTAAACAACAAAAAAAGGAGAGTATGTATCTCTTGTCCATTTCTTGTGTACATGTACATGCTCTATCATGAAAAAAGTAAAAAACAAAAACAAGGGGGTGAGTGTTATGATTAAGGTAAACATAGGATGCTAAGGGAGTGCATAGGAAAGGTATTTAATCTGGTCTGAGGTTAAAGGCTTTTTGAAAAAGGTGATGTTTGAAGGATGGGCAGGAGCAGAAGTGTTGAGGGAGGAAAGAGAAGGATTGACTTGGAAAGGTCCTTAAAATAAGAGGCAATGAAGCGTGAACCAGACATTGAACTTCAAATAGTTTAGCGTGCCTGAAGCATGGTATGGGAGGTAGAAATGTACAAACAAGTGCCAGAAGGAAGAGCTTTATTTGCTTTTGAAAAGTTTAGTTTTAATATTTTTAAGACATTTATTTTTAATTTAATTAATTAATTTATTTATTTATTTTGGAGAGGTTTTTACTATAGGGCATGTGCGCTCGCCAGACAGACAGAGAGAGACAGAGAGACAGAAAGCGAGAAATCACCCCTCAGGGGGGATGGCCATGCCGCAATCCCCTCTCCTCTATTCTCTCGGGATCTTGGGCACGCATGCACACGTGCCCGGCGTGAGTTTAAGCCACCAGGTCTGGGACGCGAACTGTGGTTGACTACGTGGGAGTCCAGCGACATAGCCATTATGCTAACTGCTGGTCCCTCATTTATTTATTTTAATTTGACAATAGAGAGACACAGAGAGAGAAGGAAAGTGAGAAAGAAGCCACCAGATCTGGAACTCTAACCATGGTTAGCCATGTGGGAGTTTCCAGTACTTTACCAACCATGCCACCTGCTGTTCTGAAACGTTTAGGTTTCATACTTAAGGCAGTAGATGTTTTATGAAGGATTTTAACTAGAGAGTGACAAAAGTGGTTTTTATTTTAGAATGATGACTAGGGCTGGCTCTGTGGGCTGGTGGATAAGACAGCTGGATCCCACACAGCCGATTGTATTATTTGAGTCCTGTACATGGCGGCTTGAGAAACATGCCAGGTGGCCAGGTGTATGTGTGTGTGTGTGGGCACGTGCATGCCCAAAATCCTGAAAGGAGGGAGAGATGTAGAAGGGATTGCAGCATGACTTTTCCTCATGGGTGAAGGTGCTTTCTCCTCTCCCTTCCTGTCTGTCTTTCTGGCTAGCTTATGCACCCTCTAGCCAAAAGAAAAGAAAAAAGATGTGATTACAGACAATGTGTTGGGAGGATTAGGAAAAGGGCAAGACCAGAGAGGAGGCTGTTGAAATCCATTCTAGGGATGATAAGAGCCTAAAATGAGGTATTGGCAGGAAGAATGAAGAGAGGCAATTGTATTTAGGAAGTAGAACAAATAGGAACTGGTGGTTGGGTATCCAGATTGATGACAATGTCCTTTACATGATGGGATGAAATACAGGTAGAGGAGCTAATGGACAATTGTGCTCTTTTGTTTTTAACCTATTGACTTGGAGCCATTTAAAATCAGAGGAGGGCCAGCTTGGTGGTGCAGCGGTGATGTGCAGCTCAAGTGATGCTAGAGCCACATGGAAGATCATGAATTCAGATTCTTGGTGAACCTGTACATGCTGGTTGCACATGCCTCATCCTGACTGGCTAGGGACGCTAGTGGAGGAGATTGCAACAGGAGACCCTGTTGAGAGTGCCTGTCTCTTTCTGTTTCTCTCCGTCTTTTACTCTTATGAAAGAAACTTTAGGGGTGAGCAGGTGGCATGGTGGTTAAGGAGCTGGATTCCCACATGACCAACCATGATTTGAGTCCTGGACCTGGTGGCTTGCTTTCTCACTTTACTTCTTTCTCTCTGGTGAACACATGTGCCGTATAGCAAATTTTAAAAATCATCATAATAAATAAATAAATCTTAATAAATAAATAAATTTTAGGAGCCTGCAGGTGGTGTGGTGGTTAAGGTGCTGGACTCTCACATGGCCGACCATGGTCCTGGACTTAGAGGCTTGAAGAACACACTGGGCACATGTACTTGCATGCCTAAAATCCCAAGAGGAGGAGGGATTGTGGCATGGCTGTCCCCTGGGGATTGATTTCTTACTTTCCCTCTCGGTCTTTCCCTCTCGTTCGCTTTCCCTGAGAAAACTCTAAAACTAACTAACTAACTAACTAAAAAAGAAAAATCAAAGAAGACATATATGGAAAATAATGATTTAGGGGCCAGCCCAATAGCGTAGTACTTAAGGAAACCAGATCCTACATGGCTGCCCATGGTTTGAGTCCTGGCCCCAGTGACTTGAGAAACACACAAAGCACATTTGCTTGTTTGCCTGAAATCCTAACAGGAGGGAGAAATGAAAGAAAAGGGGTCGTAGCTTGAGCATACTCCATTGGGGGTGCTTTCTCCCTCTTCTTCCATGTCTATCTCCCTTTCTCTCTGGTGAGCATATGGGACCTCTGGCAATTAAGAAAAAAATAAGAAAAGTAATGATTTAGGGGTTTCTTTTTTTTTATTTAAGTAATAATTTGAATACATTTTAGCCATTCTGCAGGTCTAAAAAAATCTCATCTACGTAATCTTTGCCCAGGATTTTCTTGTTCTGCCTTTCTTGTTTTTCTTTATTCATGATAGTGTGTGTGCATGTGTATATAAACGTGAGAGAGAGGAGCACCCTCCACAGAGTCTAGTCACATTGCGATCTCTTTCCC